TTGTTTAATGTTTGATGCCGCCACGCCGTTTTGCTCAGGCGCCATGTCTAAATTATTTTTATGGAGTGTATATTATTATCTCAAAACGATGTCCTTCAATGCACGGTCGCCGGTGGGTGGCCGGTAGCCCGAAACTGGTATAAATCACGTTTGCAATACGTGGGCGTAATTTGCTGAAGATTTTGCTTTACGTGGTGTGGGGCGAATTTTATGGAGTCCTTGCCATCAGGACGTATCGGGGCGGGAGGGGAGCGAGGACAAACGCGGGGCGGGCGAGGGTACGGCGGGTTCATTGAGTGCGGCGGATGAATGGGTCGCGATGAGTCACCGGATCGATGCGGTGCCGCCGCCGACCCGCGCGCCACACGCCGCCCCCGCGCGCGAGGCACGCGGCTGCGTGTTACAGATCTGCCAGCTTGCCTGCTGCTGGGGCTCATTTTCTACGCGTAGTAGAGACAGAATAGAAATTCACAAATATTTTGTTTTAGAACCTTCATTATTGTACATCGTAGTCGAATGATATGTTTATGAAAACCAATTATTTATCACTTTTAAATAAATCTCTAAATTTGAAAAGGCACTAATGATACTCTCTATAACGAATTCCGGACGAATTGGTTATCAACAACTTACTAGCTTTCTGAAAATAAATTATTGCAAAATATACCTATATCGTATTTAATTGAGTATGATATCGTTAAAAAACGTTAAAAAAAATAACTGCAGTAAATGCCAGAAAAAGATACTTGCCAGTCTGATCTTCGACCTTTCATGCCTATTACAAAAATGAAATAAGAGTCTATTCAGCCGCTTATACTATATTATATAACTTTCGGAAAAAAAATTCAAATCCCTTAAAATATAGTATTGCGTATTATTCGCTCATCATCATATTTCAGTACAGTTTTGCTCCAAATTACGTATTAGTTTATTATTATGGTTCTGCAACCTATTTTGGAAAGTTAAATTTTGAGAATAGTATGACCAGCTACTTAATTGTATAGGTAGGTATATACTGATGTATTTACCCATTTGGTTTAAATATAATATTAATAAAGTATTTCAAAAATATTTTCTTACCCTTATCTTACTCGGTTCTATACACCAGCTATTGTTTTCTACATTTTATTATTTTAAGGGACAGTTATATTAAACTAAACGCTCTTTTATATACTTCTTCGTCTCTGTTTACACCAAGTGTGTTGTAGGCCTAGAGTTGACTAAAAGCATACTACAAGCTTTTGTCAATAGGAAATTCAAAAATAGTTTTTGTACATTGTCCTTATTTTCTTTTAATCTTTCATGTTTATTGCTTATTATTATTATAATTTTTATATACATGAATCTTGCTTTTTTTTCATCCTTATATTTCTATGTTCAACTCATTTCTGTTTGAAATGAATTCTATTTTCTGAATAAATCCTGCTTGTACTCATAATTCTAAAGTTCAATCGATCCCATTCAATATGATTGAGTACTAAACATTAACGAAAATAAATTGAATATTATTGAACTGGTGGAAAGTTAGTCTGTCGGAAAACTTACAACCAACCATATTACCACAAATTGCGGTTAATGTCTTTAGTCATGTAAGATAAGGTAATAGATTTTTTTTACTTGTAATATATCCACTCGACTATAGGCGCTTTCTAGGTTTTATTAAACTGACCTATCCTGACCCATCTGAATGCTTCTGGAATTACTGATGTATAATATATGTAGTAAACCTATTAATTTTGCAAGGAATTTTCTTGTATACTTTGTTCCTGTTGGTTATTTGTGTAATTACTTCTACGAAATTACTGGGTACAGAGACGTGACACGTGTTAACACCTTACTTTAATGATTTGAAAAGGCAGGCTGTGATGCATAGTGTGGGAGTTACAATATCTATAACCGTGTCTAATGTCTAAATGCTATGTTTACCGCATTCTAATCAGATAAAGTTTGCCATTCCATGCCTTATAGACAACATCTAACTTACTTAATGTAGTCCTCGCGTATCCACGGACAACACTACTTCTTCTCCGTCTCCTTCTTTAGACGCCCGAATTATATTTTGTCTTATATGTATATTGTCTCTTAGAAAAACACGGTGGTACCCGATGAACATTTAGTAGGTAGAGTCGAATTCGTACATGGCTTAGTAGTAGGTACTACTGCTTATTACTTGGACAAATTGAAGTCTGGCATAGATATATCTGGTTAACGCTGACATTAGCATCACAATACTGCCAATGGGCAGGAAATGGCTGACCCTGGCCAACGGAAATGTACGTCCTCATCGCGACGCTACGCTAGCACTCATGCATGTACGTGACATCGCAAATTGAATATTTACTTTTATGATGTTTTGATAGAATTAGTCAACTTCGTCCTCGTGACCGAGACATATTGGCTGATCGAGATAAAAATGCTATGTCCTCCATTCCAAACAGGCACCATGTTTATTCCAAATTACAGAGTTAGCTGGAGCCGTTTAGACGTTAAGATATATATATAACTAACAATTTGAGAGGAGTAATTCTGCATAGACTAAATATATTTTCATATCAAGTGTTATGTCATATGACACATATATCAGGTACAAAGGCTAAGGTTTCCGTTTTGCATATTCAATTTTGAATTTCTATGATGGACTCTTAAATATATTTATTACTTCATTTTCATTTGTTAAAGCGAACGTCTAGTTGTTATCAGGTATTGAAATGCATGTACAACGGGAATCGCAAAAGAAGTCATGTTCGTGCCGTGGTCGTGGCACACCAGCACAGAATACTAATAAATTATTACTGACCTGACACCAACTAGCCACGTCACGATCACGACACCGAGGGGATATAAAATTTCTGTAGCACTAGCTTTACATGATCACGAGTCGCTATAAATCCACGAGCGATATGGTCGCAGTGAATGGGGAACTCTCAATGAAACGAAGACAATGAATGAATGAAATAAACTTGTAAAGTATATTAAGTACACACGAACTAGAACTCGACGTCGGTCGTTACAACACATCTCGCTGTAACAAATAATTTTAGGCTACGATCGTGTGAACGTATCTAATTGGAGGCCTTTCAAATTTCAAAACAGTTTTTCTGTAAAATTCATATTTGACGTAATTTCCGGTTACCCGGCTGTATGAAATTGTTATTATGGTTATAGTAGTCCTTGGCCGCTTTAGTAATTGCATTAATAAATATGAATACAACGAACTATCTATCTCCTACAAGCACTGGATGATAACAAACGTGATTTCGCAAATATTTAGTACAATTGACACTTTGCAAATTAATTTATTATCTATAATATCTTTGTATGTAGGATTAACACACATGTAAGTACATATACAGTTGGAAAATCACCTTCAAATTAATTTAAGAAACTCTTATTCAGCAACCCTCGAGTGTACCTTAAATATATTGGACAGACACAAAACCTGCAACTTTTTTTCGTATAACTTTCATGTAGTTCATCATATCGAAATAAATAGGTATATTTTTTCAATGAAAGTTTTATTTATCCAGATTTGGTACAAAAATATTAAGTAATAAACAAAATTTGGGTACGTCTGTCTGCCATCTGTCTAGTAGTTGTATGTATACAGATGCCAGACACATTTTAATCTTATCTATATCTCTAAGTCCATGATCTTCTCTCTCATTTAAAGCATGGTTCGATAACAAATTTGTTTTCCACATCCTTATCCGTCAAATTGTTTGTACGTACTTTTGGTCAATGACAACTGACAAGTGGACATGATAAAGGCAATAAATAGAACATATCAAATACCACAACTTTTTACAATTGAATTTGGGCAATATTCATGTAAAATTCTCGAGGGTTAGAGTGGCTTGGTTCGAACCTGAGGGCCCGAAGACGCAGTTCGCTTAACACATGGCGTACCAAGCAATCGAATGGCATCGTACGTCTTTATTTATTTTTGGTATTTACAAAAAACAATTTGTAAACCAAAGATATATTGTAAACTTTCGCTCTTCGATTAAAATGATAGCGTAGTTAGAAAATATTAAAAATTTTGCATTATTCTCTCACTCGCTTTAGCCTTGTATACCATTACAAGTTACCGTATATCACTCAAGTTTCAAATTAAGGCGAAACTAACGGTAAACCGGCGTCCATTAAAATCCACTAAGTTGCTTAGGATGCACGTTGCTCTAATTTAACACTTAAATTTATATATATTGTATGCCTATGTATAAGTAATATAAACATATATATCTGTAAGATATTCCAAACTGAGTAGTAGGTATGTAAGACGCGCCATATGAAAGTGATATTACTGCACTGATCATAGTAATCAACAACCGTCATTGCGAATTTCTACACATTAGTCCCCGGTTGCACTACGAAGTGTATTACTGCAATTTTGGTAACAAACTGTACTATCTTCTTTGGTCGCAATTGCAATTTAATATTGTATACATGGCCTTGGAATATTCAGCTATGCCAGGAGATATGTTCACAACATCACTAAATTAAATAAGATATTAGGTGAATAAATACGTCTGTTTACTATTTAATGATTTGTATGTTTTAATTGATTAAAATAATTTGATATCTTAAATCTACACTTATACTACTACTATATTAGGTGTAAGGACGTAGTGCAGATTTTGGGACTTAACAGTAGTGTATGAGAATTGCAGAAACACTGCAGATGAAATCTGGTACTCCGTAGTTTGCCCTTACTTAATTCGTCACGAAGATCTAAGTTACTAATCACATACCATCACTATTCATCACTGATAGCGTGCATAATTAGCGACAACGAATGCAGTTCATCATCCATAAGTAAAAATAGTGTTCTAAATATTCGACAACAAAATGTAGTTATGTTTTTTAACAATAGTTAAGGAATGCCTAACCAATTCACACTAGTTACACAAATAGTTCGAGTCCAATTTTTCATAGATAAACAAATGACAATGTATATTATTGTACAGCATTATTTAATTGTGCTCGTCTATTGCCCACAGGCGAATTTGCGGAGTTCCATCGTTCGTATCCGGAGTGGTGCAGCGAAGCAGGCGCACAGCATGTACCTCATCTGCCACTCATGGGATTACGGTCAGTATTTACACACGCATAGAGTGCATAATTTTACGTAGATACATGTCCCTTATATCCTTGTAGACTAGCTACTATCATTGTTTTATACGTTTGTTTTTATGTGTCGCTACTAGCCGTTTCTGAGCGGTGATGTCATGATTCGTTATCAGCTAAGGTCGTTACATCGGGTTCATCTCATAGGTATTAAGTCCGTGGGCTATAAAAATACTACTAGTATTGTGATAACTGTGTAAATGGTATCAATAATTATAAGTCTAAACATCCCGTTTTCTACCAATATATATTAATCTTTTTGTAATAAACATGCATGTTTACAATATGTTTTACAAAGGTCAAGCGATATAACTTGTCATTGTTTTAGCCACTATCATGAAATGAACATGATAAATTATGCTAATTAGACTAGATGTCATTGTTTACAACAACATGTTGGTATTTCTCTTAAACATAAAGGAAGTCGCCGAGCACGGCTGTCTCAATGCACGGACGCAAACGAGGAAACTTGCGCATGCGTGGGAAGCTGATTTCATGCGCGTGAGACGTTTTCTTTAATCACCTCGTGACAGCGGAAAAAGTAGCCGGTCGAATACCCAGCTCCGGCGTAACTGGATACCAATACTGACTTTCTCGGGTTGTTGATGAGCATACATTTATTGGTATTTACGGAGAACTTATGGGAATTCGTTCTTTCTGATTTGTTTTCGTTCAGTATAATTACTGCTAAATATTTCGGTTACGGTAGAGTGCTGCGAATGTCTGGCCCGCTGATATACTGTAGAACGGATGTGGAAGGAAATTGGGTTGTAAACCGAGCAATCGAAATTAATCGAATGCCCATGAAGTCGAGTCATTGCATCGTAATCGACTGAATACAAAAACTGGTCAGTAAACTGCGTTCCCATAGCATAAAAATAACTGGTTTTCATTTCTACGAGAAAACCTGCGAGCTATCAATGCGCATCGAGCAATTATGACAATTAAAACCACTGTAAGTACTGAATAAGTCTATGTATGCGAATACTAATGATACTTAACTATTAGTTAAGCAGAACGGCGGTCGACGCGTGACTCAAAACATAAAGCAAATTCTAAGTAATAACGGTGATGACTGGTGGATGAATGATGACGGATATGCATGCATGTAACACGTTACTCATAGAATAGAAGGATAATGTACCGAACAAAAATACGAGTAATCATATCCTTCCATCCATCATACATGTACCCATAATATCTTGCACTATAATTAAACTTTTAACCTGATTTTCTTTGATTGTCCTATTATATATATGTACTTTAAAACCCCGTATGGAACACCATGAGTATCATTTATTTATGTATTAATTTTTAAATAAATAATTTGCCTGTTTGCCTCAAAGGAATATATAAATTGTCTACTATGGAGTTATTGATTTATCTTCATCTGTTACGAATAATTAAAAATCGTATACCGACTTTTATCGTATATTATAATAACGTTTCAAGTTATTTTATTAATATATTGCTCCAGCGTGATTATTTTTAAAAGACTCAAATATTGATTTTAAGTTGGAACTGACCTATATAAATTGATGATATTTCAATTAATTTACACATGAAATGCTTAATATAACAATAATGGCTGCACATGGTCGCAACGATTTTCCAGATTGTATTAGTACTATTAACACCAAGTCGTTAAGTGCATATGTAACTACAAACTTGTATAGAGTTCGTGCTTAGAATTTACATAAATTTTCTACAAAATGACTTCAAATATGATGCAATAAAAATCGTTAGATGCGATTGAATTAGGTTGGGCAGCCTTCAAAAATGTTCATATTGTCATCTGTCAACACTAACCTAGGCCTTGTTTATGCTGTCCCGACACCAAAGTCAACATGTTATTGATAAAATACTATTCACAAGCATTCATACGCTATTCTATTGCAGTGAATCAACGTCAAAATTTCCATTCATACGTGCAGAGTATTTGTACAGCTGTATGACAACCGTGTCACACGCCTACCGAGGTATCAGTAGATTTAACACAACAGTGTTAATTATAAACTTTTGCACGCCGCCGTCAAAATTGGTAATAACTGTTGAATATTCGAGTGAAGTTAAGAATTTAAGACCTGGTGTATGATGGCTTTCTTCAAATGATAATTCTTTTGTTATGGTCACATTTGTAACCACAACTACTTATTGTGCCGAGCTCCTTTTCAAGTTTCTCAGGGAATATAAAATTCTTACCGCGTCACTGACGCATTGCAGTCGGCAGATATAAAAAATGTTTGTTCAATAAATTCATTCATTATTCTGATTCGTGAATGGCCCATGTTACGCATACTTCGACCTAAGTTAAGCAGACATTCGCTTGTCGTGTACAGCACTGCAATATGAACGGTGAAACCTAGATAGCACTATGGACTCAATGAAGTGCGCTCCATTCATGCGCCGAGCGCGCATGCGGCCTCCGCCGTTCACTATTTCCCTGCGCAAATTCACGCTACATTACATACAAAACTATCTTCTGTTACTGGAATTCAGCCTAGTAAGTAGCCGCATCGATGTGAATGAATTATTTTTTGAGCGTATTGGAATTGTATTCCGTAAGATTCTTCGTCATTTGCACCGATATAATTAATCTTCTTTAAAATTCATTCAATTTACAACTGTAAATTGAATGAATTTTAAAGAAGATTATATTCTATTTAAACATATCATGTACTGTATTAAAGGATTATTTACATTATCAGTTCGATCATATGAAGATTGCACAAGATAAGATTATTTTTATCTTTACATTTAATGAAGTATTTACCTATGCGAAGTGTAATACGTATGTAATTCAGCCATCTGAACTCCCTAGCTAATCGTAGTAAATTGAAAAGATTTATTTATATTATTTCTACTTCCTTTGTATTACTTTTTTCAATTCTAATTGGATCAAACGGCCTGATCTCGCCCACGTGTGCCTGTCTGACGTTTCCCTTTCACGATAACGTACCTAAACTATAAATAGCAACATTCAAATTTATGGTGTAAATGTAATAGCACCCACGCGCGCAGAGCGAACCGCGCGCGGCGAGCGAACTTGCAACACGATTAATTCAAAGAGCCCACTCTACCGCCTCTATGGCGGTTACTTATTAATAATTTGTGTCTATTTTTACAGCGTATCCAGAGAAATTCAGAGATACTAACAGGTATTGACCTAGATAGCATTATCAGTTCATAGATTTGTATACTAAATGTGTGGGAGTCACACATTTTACAGAAATAAATCAAATTGTTACCACTTCAGCGGTAATTATAGCACATTTTTAGCAGATGTATAGCAAAAATATAGGACTGGAAACATCGGACATTGAGAAAACATATTTTTTACAAAATAAACCTTTTTATAGTTTGTTATATTAGTATTTAGAAACTATATAGTCCAGGGAAGTGCGAGGAATAGACTTCCGTAGCTGGTAGATCAAACAAACCATCAACGAATATGAAATGTGGTTCCCGGAAGATTTCTTGTGTATTTACTGGTATCATGGCGTGTTTCTCCCCGCTGGATAAGCAAATATGTATTAATGTTAAAACAAATAGTCGCATTTTAATAGATTTTACAGAATCTGTAGCAATTACTTAGGCCTCATGTCTAAGATTATTTTACGTTATATATACACAATCTAAGTTATTAATAAATTAACCATAACAACGTATTATTCTTTAGCGTTTACTAAAATCTACGAAATATTCTAGATTCATTCAGAGTTTCACATACACATACTGAAAAAGCAATAAGGAGGGGACGAACTTTTCCAATTTTACGACACCGTAGTCTTGTATCTTGCGAAGGTATCAAAAAAACTTGTGCAAACTTCTGATTGTATTTAAGAAGATGTGTTCAATGGCACCTCTATTCATATGATATAGGTATACCTAGATGTCCTTTGCTGTCGTTTATAATATTAATGATAACACTAAAGTTCTTCGCAATACTTTTTTTTTTACCCTACCGATTCAGTTATTCTAACTCTAGCTCATCTTAACTAGATTTCACTTGATTTATTCAATCTCAGTCTTGCTTATTAACCTGTAGCTCTACTCTGTTTAATCTCAATATCGATTTTAATTGAATACCTTTTTATACTGTTTTTTTTTACGTATTCAAGCCTTAGGTGAAATATGGAATATATTCGATTTAGTTTTCACAATGTCAGTTAGTTCTTCTAATGAACACGATTTATAGAAATACTAGATCCCTAAAGGATAATCGGAGAGTATTAAAAAGTGCGAAATAGCGTAATGTAATGGATCATGGGATCGGAATTAGTTTCCTGAATAGACTGGCTGATGTCATCAATTCTGGTTTGTTGGATTACAAAGCATTCTTCCAATAATTAAAGTTAGATTGGATCGTCCATTTAAGGGCTTAAATGCCATTATGCCACATATAGTAGATAATTAAATTAACAGACGCAACAGACAACGAAGGCTTCACACTTGATAACACTGCTCTTTGCTCCACAGTTTAGAAGTAGTTCTAAATATAATAATGTTGTGTTAGTCTATGAGTATATTTGTTATGAAAACGAGATGAAAGGAAGTTACCAGATTTGTGTACCAACCTTTGTATTTGCATGTGTAATAATTAAATATTATGTTTATTTATTGGCTATTTATTTGAATAATGATGCTCTAATATGTACTATGTCTAAGTAAAAGTATTCAGACGTAGCTGAATTTGGTCGCAAGTCTTAACTAATTTAAATTGTAACTAGCTACCCGCCCCGGCTCGCTCGGGTGTACATGTAAACCACCTCTGGAATCACTCTATCTATTGCTAAAACTGAATTAAAATACGTTGCGTAAGTTAAAAAAATCTAAGCAATCAGACAGCGGAAGTGACTTATATATTATACTGTGTAAAGAAGAAAAAAATTCCAATATATATGTACATAGAGTGTATTATCTACACAATAATCAAACCGTGTGAAAGCGGGGAGAGACGCTTC